TTTTCTATTTTTTTTTTTTTAAATCACAGCTTTTGAGGTCAAATACCTGCTAAAGTACAATAAAAGTTCCATCAATGTTTGAACTTATGTCCCACAACTATGATGCCTTAACTGATGTGCCTATGACAGAAGAAGGGTTAAATAGGAGGCACATTTATAATATGTGATATGATATAGTAAAAGGCTTGGAAAATTTGACACTCACATGAAGGTAAGAGGGCATAAAAGCATACAATAAAAACAAAATAAAAAGGAAAATATGTGGTGGAAGTGGATTACCTCCCTTAGACATGTAGTAACATGACTAGGATCATCTGGTATGAATATAAAGAGCAGGGCATTTTCAAAAATTTCCCTTCCCATTTTTCTTGTTCTGCTGCCAAGCATGTATGTAATTTTGCCACAACTGTCAATCACACACATTTATTGTTTCCAAAAAATTGTAGCTTCGTGGAAATACATTGTTGTTATTTCAAACAAAAAAAGTAACATTTATTTGTTCGTCATTTGCATGCAAAATATTTTGTTTGCCATTCCTTTTAGTTGAGCTAGAAGTTTAGAATTTGAGTTGTCCTTCTCCTAAACTGGCTACCAACTATGGCTGAAGAGCCCAGCTTGCCCTGGCTGGGTTTTATGGTCATGATTCTCATTGGGAAAAAAGTGACATCGGCCGTCCTGAATCCTTTTTTGACTATTATGTAGAAGCTGGATACTGAACTGCAGCTCATCCACTCTCATCACAAGGATGAAGCTGTTGGCCACTCATCATCAAAATGACTGAGGAATTGCATCTAATTTGGCTTTGAAATCAGTGATTCTTCTAGACAGAATGTCAATCAAGGCTAACAAGCTCTCTGTCTACCCAGAGTTATATTTGGTTATCAGCATCAAATTAAAAAAAAAAAAAAATCATTTCCCCAAGCAAAGCAATAATGTCACTAAGATGCAAGGGATTACTGAGAATGAAACAGAATGATAAGGCTTTAATGAGGTGAAAGGACAATAAAAGACAGAAGATAGCAATGGACTTTGCATTTAAGTTTGGATTTCATTGAAAATCTTGAGATATATTACAGGAACTCCAGACCAGATATGGCAGCAATATTCGATTGCATGGATGAATGGTAGACTTAGAAATGTTCAAGTTTGATTCTGAGGTGAGAAATTGTTTGAAGCCACACAATGAACTAATTTTCCGAGCAGCAAACCCAGCAACAGATTGAATATAATCACTTCCCTTCATGTCAGTGGAAAATGTGAGACCAAGAAGGTGAAATGATTTGCTCTCTTGGAGGTCAGCTTCAGCCATGCTGATGGAAGGTAAAATAGCAGATTTGTTTTGGAGGCATTAAAATTTACAAGTCATTTCTTACCCTAGTTAACAACTGATGGGAGGTCATCTTTGAGAGCAGCTGCCAATTTTACTTTGTCGGACTTATTGGACTGTACTATTAAGACAGGTGTAAATAGTTATGTCATCAATATAAACAGCAAGTTGGAAACTGATGACATCAGGAATGTCATTGATGAAGATAAGAAACAACATAGGTCTAAATATAGAGCCTTGGAGAATCCTTTGCATTAATGTGAAAAGATCTTGGCATGCAGAGTTCAAATTCCAGCCAAGTCAGTTGCATTCATTCTGAGTTTATTTTTCATTGACGACATCGTAAATCTCTTGATCCGAGACAGCTATCACTGATTCAATAGTCTTAAGGAAGTCCAGATAAAGTAGCAGTTATTGGCATGGAAAGGAGAATCAGCAAGTTCAAATTCCAGCCAAGATAGTTACGTTCAATTTTCACTAATTTCTTTGGATAAGGCATGAATTCATTTCTTCTACCCCACAGCTATGGCCTAAATAACAGGATAAATTTGCCTTGGGTGGTAGCCAGGCAAGGAGAAAGATAAGTCAGAATTAAAACCATGGAGAAGGAAATGCAAAACCAACTCTTTTCTAAGAATTCATGACATTCCGCAAACCAGAAAGAAAAGTAATCTGTGGAGAGTCATAATCACCTACACCATGAATGAACATAACATTAAGAAAAATGACCATCTACATGCCTGAAAATATGGATATAATTGTTGAATTCAGTCTTCAATTGGTGCTGAAACTAAGTGGTCTTGTGCCAGACACATTTTTGCTTAGCTATTAAAATTGTTCTTGTACAATAGTTTGTAAACTATTATCGCAGATGGTTGCTATTGAGTAAATTTTTTTTTTTTTTAATCAATTCACCCCAAGCAAGGTGATATTGCCACTAAGATGTAAAGGGCTACTGGGAGTGGAGAGAATGAAAAAAACTTTAGAAGGAACTGGAAACCCAATCCTAAACAGGAAACAATGGATAAACCTCTACTCTTGTTAAAAAGATCTGGCAAAAGTGTGAACCTATCTATGCTTACTGAGGAAAAGAAAAGTAAATAAATAGTAAATAAAATTAGAGTGGAGGCAGAGACTTTAGAAGTATTCAGTTGAAGTAGACTTTAGAAGGAAATGGAAATCCATTCCTAAAATGGTAACAATTGATTAACCTCTACTCTTGTTCAAAAGAAACGAGCCATAAATGTGTGAAACACAGATGATTTTTTTTGTAAGCTAAGATACAAGCAAACCCCACTTTACATGTATAATTTGTGTTAATTAATGAGAATAATTACACTGAATCCCTTTCTTTTCAGGTTATCCATCAAGACTTATAAAAAGTGTGCCTTAAAGGCACTTTTTAGTTGCATATATAATACAAAAACTGTTAAGGTTAATTAAACATTCGGTATTTTTCATTTATTTCACAATAAACAATTTCTTTGAAAAACATTTAACTGCCCAAAATTTTTTTTTCTCATTATACAATTTTCCATAACTGTCTATATTTCAGAGATGAGGTACTGTAATTATTTACATTATTTGCATTGTTTTGGTAGTCATCATCTTTATTGCCATATAAACAACGTTTCAGCTGTTGATTTGATCCAAAGAGTTGTGAGTTCAATAGCTGGCTACTGCAGCAGTGAACAAAAACTTGGAGAGTTCAGTTAAAGAGAGATAACTGAGACATCTGGAAGAGGCATGGCACGTGGAACTAGATTAATATGTCCCAGTGGACGAAATAAAGGGTTAGTTTGAAAATCCAATCACCTGAAGAAAGCCGAAGTGTACACCGGCTGAAATGTCATGAATATGACAATAAAGATGAGGGCAACAGTTCGAACAATGTAAATTATGTAAATAATTTTCCATAAGTTGTAATTATTTTCCAAACTTTACTAAGACTTTGATGGATCTTTCCATGTCAGCATCAGCATTTAGATAAAAGTCCCTGGACTGAACATATTTAAATCCTTCTTCAATTTCTTTCAGAGTTGATTCTTTAGCCATAATTTTAGTTCCTTTGCCTTTTTTGTCTTCAGCTTCTTCAAATACGTGTAGCTCAGTAAATTTCAAGAGGATCATTTTAACTTAATACTTTTATATTTGTATCAAGCAAAAAACAAGGAAAGGACTTTAAAGATTCTTCTCTGTATATATTTTCTATGGCCTTGAATTCTCTTAAAAAAAAAAAAAAAAAAAAATCGATCCTATCCTCAGTAGCACAATCAGGTCACAATGACTTAACTAAGCTACAAAAGAAGGTTGAAGGACAGTCAACATCTCTCTCTCTCTCTCTCTCTCTCTATATATATATATATATATATATATATATATATAAATAAATAAACCAAAACCATTCATGGAATCAGTGGATAAATTGCCAAAGCACAAAACTCTTATTCAGATAAAGTCTTGGAGAGAAAAAAAACCCAAAAAACTGACAATACTGAAAAAAGGAAAAAAAAAAAAAGAAAAAGGCAAACTTACTTAGTAAAGTGCTGCCTTATTTTAAATTCATACTAATTATTGTACATGCATACTCTCAAGCGAGTACCCGAAATCCACTTCTTCCGTACCAGTAAGTTTTACTTTAAAGTACTACAGTGCTTTCTCTCTCTCTCTCTATATATATATATATGTGTGTGTGTGTGTGTGTGTACACTGCAATCAAGTTTTTTATCAAATTTTTCTTGCATTTGTACAAGGATTTTCTTTTCTTGACAAAACAGATTTTGGATTGCAAGAATAATAATTTCTTTTACAAGTGAATATTACAAATAATTTTTTGAGAATAACAATGACTTTTCCAGATACCCAGCATCCTATTTAACCCATAGCTGGAAGGGGGAGATAGATTCATACCTTTCCCGAGGGTATTTGTGCATAAGTGAATGTAATGTATCCGACTGGAATTTGAACTTGACTCTTTGATTTCTCATCCTGAGCTGCTATCCATCTAAAGACTATGTTAGAATTTGAACTCAGCTGATTTTCCTCTCTGCACAAACAATGTTTATGCTACCTGTGCATCCTGAAGCCTAAACTAAAATCAACAATATGACTGTGGACTTCCTAGGTGAAATATGATGTAGAAGAAAAATGAACGTCACCAAGATATCGGATGCAGTTTCATGTCACATTGGAAACTATTTCTTTATATGTCTGGTAACTTATTTTAATTCTCAATGTATTTAACCTTAAAAGGCATGATAAAAACACAAGACGCTTCCACAATGCAAAAAATACAGGAGCTATTTAAGATATGAAGCTGCAACTTTGTTGATGGTAATACTTACTTACCGGATAAACAGAGTAGTCACATTGAGGGGAAAACGGCTGCATCTTCAGGAGGCATATCCAAGTGACAAACATTTTGCCTACACCTTTCCTGAGTAGGTTAACAAAAATTAGCCTTCACCTGTACAAAGGTTTCAAATGTGGGCTCATGTGAACTATAATGACCATGAACTGGTCTCAACTACCATAACTATTTCTCTTTTGACTTACCTTAAATGTTTGAAGTGCAAATATACTCTGGAAGAAATAATGCATTGATATGGCTGGTGAGTCACACTCGCCAACTGAGATGAAAATGAAGTGAAAAAAAAATCAACCATTCACTGACCTTATCTCGTCCTTTCTCTTTCAGTTTATTTTCAGCCCTACGCACACCTTCATCGAGAAGATCCATCAAACGTACAGTGTCTCCTGATCGAGTCTTGAATTTCTTTCTGTAAACAGAAATACAAATGTCAATACTTTTTTTATTTGGGTATTTTTTCTAATACCAATACTTTAAAGTGATTACTGTTAAAATTGTGGGATGTTTTTAGAATAAATTATAGTTTTTCAAATTGAAACTTTTTACTTTCTCAGCTTTGCTTAATCTGAAACAATGGGGCAGATGATAATGGCTCTCTCCAACTTCCCTTTTTTTTGTAGCTCTTTTATTTCCTAAGCTTTGATTAGTCTGAGACCAGGTTAGAATTTGATTAGGGCATCTGTAGTTTTGAAGCTTGAAAAAGACCTTCCATTTCACTCTTTTCCTGCACATTGTACACATAAGGGTGAGCATTATGGTAACAATCATAAAAACGGAATGTGATCAAGAGTCTTGATTGATTTATTCATTTTCTCCGGCGTATCAACCATTTGCAGGTTATTTAAAGCCAGAAAATATATTGTAAGAATTTTTTTTGTGATGATAATGATTTAGTGATACAAGTCTTACTAATTAAGCCATAGCTGTGAGGAGAAGAGGTGGATCTATACCTTTCCCAAGGGTATTTGTGTGTAAGTGAATAAACAAACCTGACTGAAATTGGAACTCGGCTCTTTGAGTAACAATTCTGAGCCATTATCTATTACAACACCTGCACATCCAAATTTATAGCATTTGGTATTCCCAAGCAGTCACCATCTAGGTACTGACCAGGTTCAATGTTGCTCAACTTCAGTATGAACATTATGGTAACAAACAGAAAAAATGGAATGCAATAAAGTCTGTAAACCTCTTCGAATGAGAATGGCTGATCAAAGAATTACAAAATGAAACAATACAGTCTTTTGGAAATTTGACTTTGATTGGGTAAATTAACAAATCTTTATCTTGAGGGGCTCGTTGTGGAACAAAGTTTGGTAAGATAGCCTAACAGATGAATCTGATTCTCACTGGGTGCCACACAATTGTTAGCAAACTAGTCTCATTGACCATTATTACTATGATAGTATGTTCCTCACTGGGTGTCCTAGTATAGAGTTTAGGCCAAAAATGGAATATTACTGCTAAATCTGGACTGGGTCAACTCAATCCTTACTTTCCAGTCTTGACAGAGTTTAAAACTGTGTAGTCTTGTAGGTGAATGACTTATTTTCTATTCTAGGATCTCTTTTATGCTGACAAAAGATTACAAGCTGGTTGCTAATCTATTGCTATTCCACTGGCAAATGTTCAGATGAGCCTTATTCACTAGTTCTGCCAGTATAGACATTTAATGCTGCTTCCATAGAGTCAAATCATCCTTATTTTCTCCATGTTACAAATGTAAGAAGAAAGATTCACTTTGTAGAACAGACACCTGTACAGGTGCTTTTCTGAGCACATTAATCAACCTCTTCAAGTCATAGGTCAATTGTTATCTATCCTCATTTTCATCATAATCTACATTTCATACCATCTTCCCTTCCACTCATATTCCACACCTTGTAACCTTCTACCTTGTTTGACTCTCAAGCCTTTATTTATCTTTTGTAAAAGAATAAAAACAAATGGACATGGCTCTTCACTTTACAGGGTGTTCCAAAAGTCATGCAACAATTTGTTAGAAAATGTACATTTTGTGAAATAGCAACCAGGGAAAATTTGTATGACATCATCTTCCATAATTCAACCTATAAAATTTCTTAATAATATACGGTCACATACAGAAACATGATTCCATTTGGTAAATAAATATAAAATTTACAAGGATATCAATGACAATGCAACTTTTGGAGACACCCTTTAGATTAATAGTCATGAAGCTGACTGACCATTACTATTGCACCGAGTTTTATCCTCACTAGGTGCCCTGTATTTCTGACCATGTCCCTTGTTAAGCTTAGTAAAAATCAGTGTAACTTGATAATTTTTGCGTTTGTGGCATGTCTTACAGGAAATTATTCATTTACATGCTATTTATACAGAGAATTATGAAAGTTAACAATAGACTGCAAATGGTGGAAGTTTACACATCTAGATTTCAATGCAGAAGCTTCCTAAGTGCAAGTATCGTTTGTTGGAAATAATGCTTCTTGTGTCTAATTTGAAGAAGACATATTGGTAGACAATATGTGGAAAGTAAATTCTCTCCTCGAGAGGTCAGCAGCAGTGAAATAACTTCCCCATTTCTTGACCACTCTGCCAACTTCAATGACCACCAAAGTGGACAGAGGATATCACGAGGGAAAATGGCCATTTTATAAAGGGAATAAACACAAAAGAGCAAAGATTTTAGTGAACTGCAATTAGGTAGCCAAATGTAGTTGATGCAGTCAATACAGTTATTCATTACTGTCAATATGATGACTGAAGTTGTCATGATGTTTATAGCAGTTTTATCCCTAACCTTAATGTCATGTTATTGCTTTATTTCAAATATAGCTTTTCAACACATCAATATACTATGTGGACATTTACTAAGCTTAGCCTTTTTCTTCTGCAGTTTTTATCTTTACTAGTTTTAACCTGGAAAAATTTCACGGTTTTTCTATTTTAAATTTCTGATGAATCTTAATTCTTCAGATAATGATTGAATAAGTTCATGGCAAGTTCTACAATAATAAAACATCTGTAGAAATTCCCCTATCATACCATTAAATATTTAAGCTTAAAAATTTTAACAAAATATTGCAATAATAATCATAAATATGAATGCTGGCCATTATTTTAAGAAGTAAGGGGGTACAATTGAAAAGATTTGAAATTAACAACTTTCCATTTCACTGAAACAGTCATTAAGCACATCTATCTTCACTCATTTCTTTTATTTTCTGACTGAAACCGAGTAGAATCTTTGATACGTCTTTTGTCCTCTCACCTGATCAAAACAGTATAGTCCATTATTTATAAGGTATTAGCAGGAGACGTTAAGCACTTCTTTCTTTTTTAACTGAACCCAAGTAGTGTCTCTGATATGTCTTTTCATGTGATCAAAATGGAATATTCCATTATTTATGAGGCGTTGGCAGAGCATAACAGCCGTGCAAACTAACAAAGGGAGGGGCAAGCACAATTATGATACTCAATGTTCACTCAATACAAGGCCCAAGAATATATTCAGTGTGATACTGTAAGAAATGGTGAGAAGTGAAGTTCACGGGGCTATGCAAGAATGGTAACGGTAAGGTGTAGACTTCTTCTCAAGAACTGTGGAACAGACTCTTGACAAGATGTTTTCCCAATCAGTCCAATCTTGACCTGGTCAAGATTGTAGTGATTGGTAAAACATCCTGTCAGGAGTCTGTTCCACAGTTCTTGAGCAGTATTTACTCTTCACTAATGGAATACAAATGGATTGGGGATGATTCACCTTTGTGTAAATGGTATGGCAAGTCTTCATCTTAAACGACAGGTGTGATAAGTCTAAGGAATGTAGTTCACAAGAACACGTGCCATGAAAATAGAGATAGAGCAGCGTGAGGCTCTTAATATTGTATCAGTGGAAAAGGATTTGTAAGGTAGGAAATAATTCATCACCCACACAGCTACATAAATGCTTTTGAATGCTACTATGATTGAAAAGTCGGAATTGGGCAGCTCCAGCCCAGATATGGCAGCAATACTCTCCTTTTAGTCTAATCTGGTTCTTGTTATGGTAAAACATGTCAGAAGGAGTCAAGTACTTTCTTGAGTGCTACAATCAGCCAACCATTTTTCCAGTATCTGTAGCAATGGAAACTGCCTCATTCTATAACATTGTCCATGACATTTCAATAGTAATAGTTTTAATAAAGGCTAAAAACAGATTAAGTTAACTCCAGACAAATTAATCCAAAGTATAGCACCATGAGAGTGTTTTGATTTGCAGCATTCCTGAAGAGGATGTATCCAACAAAATTTTATCTACCATACTAACAACACCCAGTTCTTGCTAATAACTGAGATGGCTGAAAATGCTTGAGTAAAGAGAACATTTAAATGAACACCTGTCAGTTTAATCAAAATTTTGATCCTGCTGTACAATATCTAATTGAAAAATGAAACAAACATTGTTGAATTTAACAAAATTTGTTTGAATATTTGATATATATATATATATATATATATATATATATATATATATATATACACACAATAATTGTAAACTTATTTTTTTAATTATTGGAGATAGAGCCTCTATAGAGTTAGGGTTAAAATTAGAGTTTTTCATTGATGAAATCTCTCTTTCTTCTCTTTCTACACACACATACATTGGTGTTATGGTTAATAATTTTACCATACAAAACCTTTGCTAAACATTAATGACTCCATTACTTTTTCTCTCATATATATATATATATATATATATATATATTTTGGAGAGATAAGCAGATACACACAGATGTATATTTAATAGTTGCAAAATATGTGTTGCTTTTTTAAATTTAACATTTTTCAGATTCATTGACTAATCAATTATTATTGCCTTGTGCCAGACTAAGTTAAGGAAATAACAATGAATACTTCTGAGATGCTATCAAAATGCATTGCTAATTATGAGGTTAGTGTAAAAACATTATCGAAATGAAAATCACTCAGTTGCCACAATGCAATTCAGTTTCCTCAATGCTGAGAGATTTCTTGTTGGTGGAAAACTTTGGCTTTGTCATTAATAAAACACTTAATATCAATGGACAAAGTGGCTGATGATAGCTTGATCAGCAGACACAAATCTGACAGAAAGGAAATGGTCAGTAGAAACATAAACAATGCAATATTGGTTGGACCTTAAACATCAACATAGAAGGAAGAATAACCTAGAAAAACATTTTATACAGGCAGTAAAATATTTTTATTGAAAAAAAAAAAAAAAAATCCCTGCAGACCGATATTCTTTTAATTTAACCAAAACATGATCCCAATATGTTGTTAATATTCAATATTTATCTGTTCTCAGTCTGTAATAAAACAAAATAGGTGTGTAAGTGTATCTGATATGTTAGAGAAATCCT